TAATATACAACAAGACAAAGTGAATGCATACTACCTATACATGTTGGTAACAATTGAGCAATAGCTATTAATGAATATAAGTGACATTAAAGTGAATGAATACAAGTTGTATAAGCTAGTATCAATTGATACAATTGGACGAACGAATACAAGCAAAACTAGAAACAAATGAATAAATTATACAAACTAGTAACAATTGATATAGTACATCGAATGAGTACAAATAAAATTAAAGCTAACAAATACAAGTGATACAACCATTATGCACAAATAAATACAATTTATACAGGCTGCACCTGTTAGCAGAGCAAGTATAGCTATGAATTGTAATTAAGAAAAATGTAGTTGGTCTTGGTTCAAATTTTATGAAGAAAACAAATGATGCCCAGCAAATAAAGAAAAAAAGGAAATAAATGATTCCCATTCCAACTCATGTTATCCTGTTTTTAACTTTTATCATCATCTAATATATCTGGAAAAAGAATTAATGGATTGTGATTGGAACGTGATGATAAATAATTAAATTGCTATAAAATTAGAATATAAGGTTAATGTAGGATACTAATATATATATTTGTGCCCCATTTTTAAAAAAATGGCATGCTCCTTTACGTACAAGCAACGCAGTGTGTTTTTATTTATATTTTTTATTTATATATGCAACGGGATAATGTCAATGAATTCTAGTAGGGGCAACTAATGCGGACTTCGGCCGCGTAAAATTCATCTAAGAAAAAAAACGCTTAGCAATAAATATATATATATATATATATATATATATATAAAGCTCACATTCAAGATTTTTAATTAAGAATAAAGAAATCTTGTTCACTTATCCATTCTATCACAACACTTGCTAGTTACGATTTTGTCTTTTTAACTTTTTACAATTCTTAAATTTTGGTTTCTTGCAAAATGACATAATTAAATACTCGCTATCTTGGGAATTTTAATTATAATTATACCCTTGAATTTTAATAATTCAAGAGTGTAATTGTAAAGAAATTTTTCATAGAGTTCTAATTCAAATCTAAGATGAAATGAGAAACAATAAATCAAACACTTGATAAAAGTAAACTTGATATTACTAATTTTTATATTACTAATTTTTTTGTTATTAATCTTTGTATCAAATGATACTTTACACAATAGCAAGTGGGTGAAGATTTGAAAAGAGGAAAAAATATTCACAAGGAACTACTTGGGGACAAAGGAAAGTTAACATTTGAACATCAAGTTAGTGATATTCATATGTTAAATTTCGTATACTAGTTAATTATATGATATATTTTGTGTCCAAAGTATATATATATATATATATATACCCCTTCTTATAATAAAGAGAAACAAAAATAAGTGAAAAAAATACTACACATATTATTTCTCATTATCTTAAAATATTGATAATTATTTTATAACAACTTCTATATTATTAGAAAAGTAGTGTCATCAAACTAAATTTAAAAGAAGGTTTATGAAAATGGCCAAAGTTATCTGTTTGTCATGTGAATTCATGTATATTTAGAATAATAAATTATATTTAATTTTAATTTCATATATTTTAAGATATAAAATATGTATTTGAATGTATCAAAAAAATCTAGTAAAATCCGAGGTAAAAGGAGAAAAAACATTTTTACTTACTCAGGTAACACAGTTATATCTGGTGAGATGCGGTAGTTTGTGGAGGCGGTTAAATTTACCTATAAAAGTATGAAGACTCCCATCCCCAAACTCATCTTCATTAGGTATCCGCCGTACTAACCCAGCCGCCGACTGCCGAACACCGGCTTCCATCGGCCCTTTTTCTCTAAACTTCTTATCCTATCTGAAGTTCGGCAGACCAGAAATGGAAAATCAGGAAGAGGCATATTTCACGTTTGTGCGTGAATCTAACAACCCTTTTCATCAGAAAAACTGTTGTTGTTTGCTAGATTCACGCACAAACTCGTAATATGTATTTTTCGAATATCTGCGCTTTGATTTGTATCTATTTCTCCAATTGGTGTGACTCTGAAGTCTGACCTGACCTCTTTTCCCATCTGTGTTACTGTATATGTTTCCGTGCTCTATACTGATGTGATTGATTCTCATGTATCATTTGCATTAGCCACGAAGCTCTTCGGAAATGGGTAAGCCTCTGCATCTGCTCTCTTGAATTTGACGAATGGACTCTGTTTTAGATTAGAAATCCATGATTCATGTGTTTATTTATCTATTTTGTAGCATGAGTTATTGCATATGAATTAGCAGTTAATGTATTGGGAGTAGAGGATGAACTTGTTGAACCTTTATTTTTTATTTTTCTTATGGATCTGAATTGATATAAAGGATTCATTTAGGTGACCTGAGTAATACTGATTTAGATGGTTTGGGCATGTGAAGATGTGATGCACAGACTCCTGTTGGTTATAATAGGTATGAAGAGAGGTAGGAGACTGAAGAAGTGTTGGAGAGAGTTTGATTAGACCGGACATGACTCAATTTCATGTTACCGAGGACATGACCTTAGTTAGGAAAGTGTGGAGAACGCGCGATGACCTTTGATAGGAAAGTGTGGAGAAAGCTCCCTAGAGTAGAAAGTTAATAGATAGTAGAGTGGTGTCTTGGTTTCCGAGAGTCTAGGCTTGTTGGCGTTTTGTCATTGTACTAGCGGTGTTATTGTAGTTCTTGATTGCGATATCTATCATCATAGTTGTTTATTGTGATTCCATCATCACGATATTTTGTTGTTTTTGGTCCTTTTTTGGGGATTTGCAGTGCCCCTTGTTAGTTGCTATGTTTTTACCACAGTTTTCTTCTTTCTTGTACTTGGATTTGTTGTACTTAAGCCAAGTGTCTCCACAAGTTATCGGTAAGGTTTGTGTACACTCTACATTCCCCATACCCCAATTTTGGGATGTCACTGGATATGTTGTTGTTGTGTTGTTGCAGTGATTTTGATTGTTATATTTCACTTGCTTAAGTTCATGGTCTCCAGTTATGTTGCTTGGACCCTCCAAAAAAAGAAGTCACACTCGTGTCGGATTCTTCAAAGATACACTACTTTTGGAGAATTCGACATGTACCCGTTGCCATTTTTAAAGAGTTCGAGCAACATAGCCCCCAAGGTAATTCCGGTGAACAGTTTGAGAGTAGCACTTATTCAATAAACTGAAGATGGTAACAACTATACCATTAATATATGAGGTTCATTACTTTTCAACCAAAATAAGAGGGAGAATAAGGGGAATACAGTCTCTTGAAGTATCAATTTAATAAAGGAACACTGATCTTTAACTTCTCCCGTGATATAAACATCTCTCATTTGGCACAAAGAGTTGACTAATGCTTGAACAGGTTCGAAAATCGTGGAACAGTTATGATAACAACTTCATTAGTGAATGGAGAAGCAGGAGGTAGAATGCCAACGGCATGAACTACCCAATGGATAAGAATAGATGGTGAATTCATAGTAAATCAGCAGCAGATATATGAGGCTCTTGACTTGCATTTTTTGTAAACAATGTCAAAGTATCTTTATCTCAAAACTCTAGTTTGTTTTTCTTCCTAAATCAACGTTCCTTGCTCCAAATTCTTCATTGTTTCCTTTCGTTTTAATTATTATGTAAACATGATACTATTTGTCATCTTTATTTTCTCTAGATCCCAATAGATGAGTAAGTTAACTTCGGAATGAATGAGTAGATTTGCTGTAGTTTGATGCTAAACCAATTGAGACCTTTTGCTTAATTTAACACTAAAATGATGTGGGAAGATGTTTCCACTTCTTCCCTTTATAAGTCAGTAATTTGAGAGTCACATGTTAAGTTGCAACAAGTCTATGCATTCATCATATAACCCATCTTTAGTTTAGTGGATAAAGTTCTATTTACGAATAGTTAAAGATTCATGCTCATTTCTATATGACGATTTCCATTCCTTTTAATTACATGGGGCTTAACTAACTGGATGTTTTACAAATGTGGTAAGATTGATGTTAATGGTACCAAGCTAGCTCAAGTGATACACTCATAACTTCCTAATGAGAATTCAATCCCTTGCCGGCTGTGGAAGTAACTTCAAATTCACGAATTTGCTTTTGGAGGAAGATGGTTAATTTTGGTGTTAGCAGTTTTGTGAACTTTGTAAGATCCAGAAAAGGCTTAATGAGGTAAACCTCGAGTATCTTTCTCTCTTCTTTTTTCTATAGTCATACATTGCTTCACTGCCTGAATTGTAAAATACACAGTTGCTATAAAGCATAAGATTACCTTAGTACTTCCAAATGTTAACTATAAGGTGTACTCAGTCCTATGAACTGATTTCAGGATCACTTTACAGCTCATTACACATTTGTTGCAATTGAATCCAAGAACAAGACTAAGAGGATCAATATTAGGTGAATAACTCTAAAAAGTTCAATATTAGGCTATATTAAATTGAGTCGATCAACGAGTATGTATTCCATATGGGAGTGTGACATTACACTTTGGAAGCAATTGAATCCAAGAACAAAACTAAAAGGTTCAATATTAGGTGAAGCTATGTATTAAATTGAGTCATTAACGAGTATGTATTCCCTATGGGAGTGTGAGTACCTATGTGGTGAAATAATAAGTGGGATATGTTATCATGATGTTAGCTGGTTTCTTCTTCAAGTCGAACATATTTCACTTTCATTTTTTGACGCAACACACTAGTTATAACACTCGGTAATTTGTCATGTTTCTTTTATCTATTTAAGCGAACTTGGCAAGTTTGCAGAATTCTTTTTACCTGTTCTATGACATTCATGAACACGGGTTGGGTTGAAGGGAAAAATGAAAGAGAACAGATACTTATCAAAGGAAAAAATTACTTTTTCATTCCACAATGAATTTCCATCTGCTGTATGAAATGTATTAAGTGAATTGTTGATCATAATCATCAGAAATATGTACAGTATGCTTCTTGCTCCAAATTTGGGAATTCAACAATAAATAGTTGGGAAACATTGATGATTCAATAAGGTAAATTTACTAGCATTGAAAAAAATAAAAGAATGATTATGTAAACTACATTCTGCTCATCCGCATACCATATTAACTACTACTACTCCTATCTTTTTTCTCAGGCCAGGTTTTTTCAGCTTAGAGAGTACGTTGCTCAAGATAGTTACAACATTCTTAACAAACCCTTGGCTGTTTGATCTTCTCCTTTGCCGGAAGGTCTACCAAACGATGGTGCTTGCAATAGGTTCCATTCTGTTCAAAAGCCCTGTAGAGTTCATGGAAAAGATTAACCATCAAGTCACTGCCATCCATTTGCTTCTTGTAGTTCAGCAGAATATAGTGAGCCCTTGTCCTGAAGTATCCTTCTACAAAATCTCGGAAGTTCATGAGGGGTCTCCTCAGCATATATATCATGCCCTTACATGTCAAGGTAAATGCTTTCTTGTAACCTTCTCTACCACTAGGATTTACGCGTGTCGTACTCAAGATTGAAGTCTGAATAGTTGTGAGCACTTGCAATATGTTAGACTTTTCTGGATTCCACTTGCCTTGAACACCACAATACCAGTTAGTCACAAAGTTACCACCTTCCAATAGACTAAGTGTAACCTTACCCTTAGGGTCCAAAAATTCGTTCAAGTCAAGATTATAAGAATGGTAATGAATTCTTGGAGGACAATTAGGGTAGTTTCTTGGGAAAAGTAGGTCGAAAAAGAAGAGGCCATGGGCGTAAGGCGTATTGGGTGGACCAACTATGACTGTCCTCATAAGATCAATCCTCTTCTCATAAGACTTGACAAGAATGGAACTGGGAAGCTTGTTCTCCAATAAAAGCCATTCTTTTTCGATTCGTTGGCGAAAGGCGCTCTCCAATCCCATGTTCTTGGAATTTCTGTCATATTTGAAGAAGTGATGATCATATGGAGGATAGTCAAGTATGCTAAATTTGTTGATCTGGTTAAACCTCTGTTCGATATTGTCGATAATTTCTTCAATTTCCCCATACATGTTGTTGTTTGCCTCATCCATTGATTGGTGTTGCTTGTTATGAAGCAAGCAATTGTTTTCTTGTATATTATGTTCTCTGAAAAAACCCTCCCTGTTTAGTTGGAAGGAATTCTATTTTTCAGTATAATTCTAACAATATCAATGCCTTGCTAGGTATAATGAAAATATATAGGGATTTATGTAACTATATATAAGTGTAATTATATAGTACTAATATTCCTAAATCCCAACTATGTCAGGAAAAAGAAAACGATCGATATTTAAGGTAATTATTTGAATTGAACTAAAACCTTAATGGACTATTTCAAAGAATCCCTAATGTACAAGGTTAAAAATTATTTACCCTTTTCAACTTTACTTTAAAAATTGAAACCCCTTTGGCTTTAAACAAAAATAACACCCGAACAAATAATGCTCCTATTTGCAAGTTATAATTCTAAGATTGTGTCCTCGAGTTAAAAAATAAAATTAAGGGTAAGAGAATTTTCTCACCCATTTGAATTTAAGGACATTATAGTGAATTTTTACATGTGATAGGTAAAGGTGATTTTTACTCAAATAATTTTCTTCACACTAAAAAATGACTAAATGGAATTAGTCATCTGAAAAAATGATAGTAATTGTTGAAAGATAAAGAATTATGTCATAACTTATAATTATTGGTCCTATAATTATAAAATTTTCACTGTCTAAAAGGTGACAATTTGTCAATTTCTTCTCGAAAAGAAAGCTTCTCTTTTGGGCTTTCTTCGAATTTCAAAGTTGGACTTGCAAATTGAGACCAACATACTATCACTTGGGCTTCGTACTAAGCTTCTTAGGGCTTGGCAAGTGCACAAATAGCCCATTTGAGTTTTAATCGAAGTCAAAATTAACTTCAAACCAACGGGTTCAAGTTATATTTCTCAAAACATAACTTTAGTTAAAATGATTAAAACTTGACATATTGTTTGTGCGAGTAAATTACAGACATTTTGTCCTTCCAATAAAATTAAGGAAAAACTACACAATATAGCTAACGTTGATAAGTATTTAATGTCTATAGCTATTTGTGCGAGTAAATTACAGACATTTTGTCCTTCCAATAAAATTAAGGAAAAACTACACAATATAGCTAACATTGATAAGTATTTAGTGTCTATAGCTACAATTTAAAATAATTATTATATATGAATATATTTTACTGTTAATTAGCAAAGAGAAACTTGCATGCCAGTATACTTTTTCTAGGCGTCTTTCTCGGCCACAAGCACACAACTCCCTATATCCCCGATTTGATCTTTCTCTTTCATTAGCTTAAATCAATGTAATTTTTTTTCAAGATCAGATAATTTGCCTGATTTTTGCATCTAATTCGGTATACTTATTTTTCAGGTAGAGCATCAATTTATTCTCCTTGTTCAATTTTTTCATAGTATTTGTTTAAGCGTGTTTATAATTTCAAATTCATAGGGTTTTAGTTGAACCTTTTATTTTCTCCATTAAAATGGCGAAGATTAGTATTTTGAAGAAGGTTACGCGAGGTATAACATTATTTGATAAAAATCACAATGACTCCATACCGATGCAACAACTTAACCAAGAGCAAGGGAAAAACTCTCTCAACAGAAAGGATGGTGTTCAAATTTCAAAATCTATATAAAAAAAAGTTAAAAAGAAAGAAAAGTATGTGTTCCCAAAAGAACCACATAAACCACCAAAAGAGTATTTTATCATTCCCCAATTAGTTTGTATTTACTTGTTCCCGTGTACTTTGCATACAATTGAATATTTGTATAATTTTCTGTGTTTGTATCATTACTAACTTCATATTGAATTGCACAATATAGTTAGAGATATGCATACTTCATTGTTGATTTTCTTAATACATGAAAATGTGTAGTTATCAATACATGTAATTCCTTTTCCTTATATAAATATACATTTTGATATATGTATACAGTATCATACATGGATACAGAAATAAAATGTATTTTAAAAAAAATTCAACAGTGTATTCAAAAAAAAAAAATACTTGGATACATTATTATACATGGATACATTTAGTTATCAAACAGATAGATGTATTCCATATTCAAACAATAGGTGTATAAGTGTATTCACCGTATGATTATTCAACAAATCGGAAATTGTATTTATTCTATCCATTTTTAGATGATAGGAATGTATATTTAGTTGGTATACCTGTTATATTCAATGTATGTATATTCACTGTATTTATTTATACAAATATATTCATGTATCATTACAAGTGTATCATTATTATATTGTTATGTATTCTATATATTATTAATTTTTGTTTATGTATTATATGCAGTGAATCGGATTTCATGTGTTATATTTCTAATTGAAGCTCCGTATATGTAAATCTATAAATAACAATATAATCCATGATTTGAAGCCAAAGCTTAGCCCAAATTAATATAAAATGTTCAGAAATATTTTGTATTTTTTATAAAAAATTGATACTACTTTTTAAATATTTTATGCGTTTACACACTAAATAATCTTAAAACAGATCCAACCAAATATAGATCGTTGTTTAATAATGGGTAGTATGACAATGCAAATTGGCGTGATTTAAGGCATTGTCATATTTAAAAAAGGATTCTGTCATTTTTAATGCCATCTAATTTTGAATTATATCCTAGTATACAAAATAAATAAACTTTGAATACATGAAATATAGCGATTTTATCATAATAATTATAGCTACACAAAGTAATTATGGTAATTATAGCTAGAGAAATATGATAACGCATAAACTATAGTCATTTATGTAAGTTTATCAAAAATTAATATCAAATTCTTTAGTAAAATTAGGAAAAGTTTGTTTAGATGGCTGGTTTTTGGACCACTTGTTAATATTATTTTGTCATCATTTAAAATGCAATTAAAGAGAAATAACAACTTTATATGGTTCATTATTGGGAAAATTGTATATAATGGCAAACTATTAATTCAAATTAAATGGTATAATCACACTTTGATTTAATTGTGTCCTGTAGCAAACTGTTTGCCAGCGCCTCTCTCCCTCAAACTCTCGCTCGCCACTCTCCTCTCTCGCTCACTCCCTTTGTGCTCGCCTCTCTCGCTTTATACAACAGAAGTGTATAAATTGCGTTTCTGTTTGTATAAAGCGAGAGAAAATTGTATATACACATGCAAATACATATATATTCGTCCTATACACTTATAATTATACAATAAAAATATTCCCCTGCCCAGTTCTCTTTTGTCTTTCTCTCTTTCTCGTTTATACAACAGAATTGTATAAATTGCGTTTCTGTTTGTATAAAGCGCGAGAAAATTGTATATACACATGCAAATACATATATATTCGTCCTATACACTTATAATTATACAATAAAAATATTCCCCTGCCCAGTTTTATGTTTGTATAATGTATAATTTATGTTTGTATAAAGTGAAAGAGAGCGATTTTTTATATACAAATATTTTTGTCAACGATTTATACAAACGAGAGGCTAACAACAATTTATACAAATGGCCTGCCAGCGAAATTATACAATTCTGAAGAGGAGCCAACGAATTATACAATTGTTTCTTTTTGTATATATGTATAGCGAAATAGATAACTTTTAATTGTATATGTATAGCGAATTATACATATATATGTTTGCTATGGAGCGCAATTATGCAAACTTTGTTATAGCATACAAATATGATTTTTTTGTTTGCTATATGTGAAAGTTACTCTTCATTATTTGACCCCACTTGTTTCATGAGCCAAATTTCAAATTTAACAATTTTTAGTTTTTGCCTTTTAAGATTTGTCAATTGTGTAAATAGAGTCGAAAGTTGAAGACCACCAATTTTCAAGATTATTAAATTAATCTAATTTCAGCCATGAATCGCGTACTTGGATTGAGATATATTAATGAACTAGGCGGCCCCTAATTCAACCACCCAAAGACCACTTCTAACCTAAATCTCAAGTAAAAAATTGATCTTGAAATTTTGACCATGCTTTGCTTCATGAACCAAACTTAAGTTTATTAACTTTTGACCTTTGATCTTTTGTTGATGAAGTAAGCGAGATTCAAAAGTTCAAGATTATCAATTTCTTAATATCTAGTATTTAATCTGTATATATATCACAAAATTTATGGAAAGAAAAATTTATAACTATTTGATAATGAACTTAATTATAATATAGTACTCCGTCTATTTATTTTTAATTGTCATATTTGAAATTGACACATTTATCAAAAATAACAATTGATATATATATATGTATATACTAGTTTCACGGCACATGCGTTGTACGTGTGTATCGTATATATAGTATACGATGTTGTAAAATAGAAGTAATATTACTAAATTAAAGTTTTTTAGTAAATAATTATAATTTAAAGAACATAGGACAAGTGCTTTTAAATGATTAATATAGATTGTCATAAAGTTACTTGTATATTGAGATCAAAATGACCAGATATTATTGAAACATTTCAAAATATATTCAAAGTTTAAATATGGGGAAAAAGTGACATTTCTGTAATAATATTATTATTTACTTCACTCAATTTTGTAAACAAATCTAACCAACAAAATTTTAAAAAAATATCAATACAAAAAATGTCACCAATAGTCTTTCCTCTTGAGGTTATGAACATAAATGATGGACACCATTTAAGTATAATTTTTCTCTTAAATATTCATACTTGAAATTTAGTATGTGTATGATACTATTAAGGATTACCATAAATATTTCAATATTTTATGTTTATACGTAATCTATCTTTTACCAATTAATATTTGAGTAAGACTATCATAGAGAGGTAATTCTACAAAAATTGAGGTTTGAGTGTATGTCAGATATTTAGCTTGACCAATTCTTTGTTTTAGATATACATATATATTTCAGTAGCATAATTTAATTTTAATATATGAACAACATCGCCTTTGGTGAAAAATATTTCATTTCTTTAAGTTTTTACCTTATTTTTGTAGAATTGTAGTATTCTTTTTTTTTCTGTCGCATACATATCATATAGTTGTTGTCTAATGAAAATATCTAGTATCTTATAGAAGTTTTATCATGATATAAAATATTAAATTTTTTCAATAAAAAAAATTAATAGATGAATAAAATTTGAAGTATTGTTTATAGAATCTTTAGTTTGATTTAAGATTATTTTATGATCAATCACTATTTTCTTTATCTATTTTTATATAGCTAACAAGGCGTTTATCTTGTGACATAAATTTTTCTCAAATTAAAATGAATACAAAATAATAGGAAAAAAAATGAATGGAACGATACATAGCCAATGAAGAAGGAAGACGAAAATATATGTTGATGCTATATTCACTATAGTGTTCCATTTGATTAAAATCTCTTGTCACCAACACTTTACTTCCTTCATTCATTTTTACTTAGATATCTATTAAAAAGTAATTATTATCATGTCTATATTATCATATTATAAGTAAAAGTGAAAATCTATTTTTTAAATAGTGGATTTAATATCAAAACTAATGATTCAATGGACTACGTTGATGGCCGTTGTTTTAGTAAAATCAGAAAGAAACTGCTTCATTTGAGGGTAAATAAATAAAAAATAAAAAATCAAAGAAGAAATATCTTATCCAAATCATGTGACTTTATTCATATTTGTTTATTATTATTGTCTTTCCCACAACTTTTCGTCAATGTTAACTCATGAAAATTGTAAGAAAAAATACGAGTGTGAATTTATGAATGATTTGCTACAATTTGTTCACCAACTCTTTCTTATGTGGTACCTCAAATTTCGTTAAATTTTGAACTTAATCAACTGTTGCAAATAACCCTAAGATTTTTTAAGAAGAAGAAGAGTAGAAAACTTTAAAAATCGTAGTTTAAAAAGTGAGAGGAAACCCTCTATTTATAGCTAACAAATAGTAGTATTAATAGTTGCTAATTGTTCCTTATCAAAAAAGTTACAACCTTTCGAAAAAGTCATTGCTCATCGAAAAAAATCACAACCTTTTGCAAAAAGTCACAACTCATCGAAAAAGGCACAACCCTTCGAAAAAGTCACAACTCATCGAAAATGTCAAAACCCGATAAAAAAATCGCAACCCCTTGAAAAAGTCACATCGCTTCAAGAAAATCACAACCCTTTAATATGAAAGGGTATCTACTTACAAATAATTAAATTAATAAATAAAATAAATTGAGTATTTTTAATTGGGGGTATTATAGTAATTCAACATTCAGTTTAGGAGTTCATGCTTTTAAGATAGTATAGAAAATATATATATGTCTTATTATATTTCGATTGTCACACTATTTTGTTATTGTTATTATTTCTTTAATTCTTGTAGACTTTACACAATTTTTTTTTATTTGAATTAGATTCACTTAAATCAAGGATCTTTTAAAAATAGTCTTTCTACCCTAGAATGTAGATAGCGATAAAGTCTACACATATTAGGAAATTGTTTGTAGAAGGAGAGGTTCAAGGTCGGTTTAATTGGATAAAGCGCTGTTAAATTTAGTTTGACCACCTAGCTAGTAAGTATAATGACAATTGACAAACCGACACAACCGTTATTCATGCCATAAATAATTGAATACCTTTTTGGAATTACTTGTCCATTTTCTTTTATACTTGTTCACTTTAACAAATTAAGAAATAATAATTTTTTAAAAAAAATTTATACGTATAATCAAAACATATACTAGTTAATTAATTAATATATCTATACTTTACCTTAATTACAATCCATAACCTACTTTTAGCTATAATTAAGCGGCTCAGCTTTTTAATTTTGTATAATTTGCACGTTTGTATGATTCAGAATTTGTATAATTGTTTACACTTATGCTGTTTGTAATTGTATAAATTCATTATTTCGAGTTTATACAAAAATAACTCAATTATACAAATGTACCCGCGAATTATACAAATCCGTAAATTATACAAACGAGTCAGCTTAAACTGTAGCTACAACCCGTAAATATGCAAACTATAGCTATGAAGCATAATTAAGTTTATTATAGTGCCTCCCCACTTTAATGTATTATGCCCTCAATTAATTACTTTGAAAAAGGTAGAACTTTTTGAAAATAATTCACTCACTTCATAATTAATAGGGGTAAAATAGTAAATTCACTATGTCAATCATTATTTTCTTCATATGTATGTTACTATTCAAAAGTGGACAAATAATTAAAGGATCCACAGAATAACTGTTATATACTGGTAGAGTAGTTATTTGGGTGTTGTTTCCTTGTAGATTGTCTACTTACTAGTAACAAAAATATGGTTGGATGATATACATGTGTCTTAATTACCTCACTCACCCCTTTGAAAAAGTTGTTCAAAGGTAGTTGGTGTCGTGCAAGGACCAATTTAAGCTACTTGCTTTACTTGTTTTTAGAAATTGGTCGGCAAGTTTAAGATAATGATAATAGTAAGTAGATAATGTTCACCAATTGTATTAGTACTAATGTTCACACTTAACTCACAACGTTACCGATCAAGATTGTGGTGGAGCGAAATTTTTTTTTTTTTTAAATTTTAATTAGAGATCTCGAATTTAAATTCCCCAAATATTAATTTGTATTTGTTAAAGAGCATTTTATCCCTTATGTCAGACTTTCCGACACGAATATAGAAACAAACCGTCGGCAAGGGATATAGGGTGCATTATTAAATATCTACATATTTTAAAGAGTAACATTGTATTAAGACTTGAGATTTAAAAGAGAATGTTTGGTCAAGCGCTTAGAAATGACTTGTTTTGATAAATATAATTTTTTGGTTGATAAATAGTTTGTGTTTGGTTAATTCATTTTAAAGTTTTATTGAATGCTTTTAATTAAAAAAATTATGTTGGACTATTAGTTAAAAATAATAATATTTGAGTATCAAATTATAGAAAAGGATAAATATAAAAAAACATTTATTATTAAAGTTATTTTATCCAGAGAAATTATTTTTAAAATCAATTATGAAAGAATTTAATTAAAGTTTCAATTTTTATTTAATTAAAACAAAGTATATATTAAAATTTTCAATCAATACAGTACGTGGATAAATCAGAGGGAATATTAAATATTAATATAATATTAACATGATAATTTAATTGTATTAAAAATATGAAAGAAAAAATTATATAAAATGCAGGATTACATAATCAAAAGGTTATGAGTTGCTATACGTATTAATTAAATAGATTGTTTCATAATTAAAGGTAGAGATATTTCTCCTTATAATTATGAATTAAAAATGCATGATAACTTCTTTTTTTTTAAGAAGTAGAAATTTTCAACTTTCATAAATATTGCTTGTGTTGCTCCTCAAAAAGCACTTCTCTTTATTGGCAAACAAACAAACTTTTATAGTATAGCAAAAGCAAATAATGAAAGATAAAAGGGAAAAAACAATCTCTAAGAATAATTACATAAATTTGTATTAGTTGTTCTACCTACTAACGCTGTTGAACATGTAGCAATCGGTAACATTAGAGATCCTTCTATCGTGTATTTAACTCTCTAATTGATTGAGACATTAATTAATATGGATCTACACTTGATGATTTCACTTTAATTCCCGTTATTATTGTTAGAGTGGGTTAAAGTTCCACGTTTAGTCTACTTATATAAATTTGGATAATCTCCATCATAAGCTAGCTTTTTCGGTGTTGATTTAGGCCCAATTTAATATCTTTATATTGTATCAAAATCCGTTCATCCCCGTTTGAGCATATCCATGCTCCAGTTAGGTGTGAACGTGAAGAAGGGTCCCACATTTACTGATAAATTGACTGGTTATCCACTTATATGACTTGGATAGTGTTGTGCAAACATATTTTTTATACCACTAAACATGACAACTTGACAAATTTACAATTATCTTTAGTTCTTTTATATTGTCAAACATCCTTAATTAAGCAACATATTGGCCATATCCAAAGACTAATGCACTAAAAAATAAAAGTTACACTAGAAATGCCATTGTCCTCTTCAATCCAAGGAAGATTGATGATCAATTTGCCATCTTGTGAAGACCACTCAAACTCAACTTCAGTACCATTCAAGTAACACTTGTTAGGCAACACATTTGTGTATGCTAATAGACTCCCACCACCTTTAACTTCAACTTTTGCACTTACATAATTAGCACCATCACCATTAGCCTCCTCATATTGAACTCCTTGTATGGCTCCTCCACTATTGAACATGTTAGTGAGTCCAATTGGAGCAAATTTAGCAATAGGGCTGAGCTGTTTTATCGGTACAAAGCTAAAAATCTCGAAAGTAGATGGTTCAAGGGACATTGGAGTTGTGTCTGATGTAGCCTTTGTTAACAACAATTTCTCAGCTTGGTTGAGATATACAACATATTCCTCTGCTTTGCCCATTTCAGATGCTTCGATAAGTTGGTCCCATTCGATGTCATTCACATGGACTGATCCTTTCATTGGCTTGTAGCAATTTGAGTATCCCTTGATTCTTTTCTCCTTTGGATCCCACCCTGCTCCTTGGCAATTGAATGCACCAATGACTCCTCCATACTATGCACAAGACAATGAAAATCGTAAATTATTGCAAAAAATAGTAAGCGATCTATGAACACATACAAATAGGCAAGCTAAATCACATTCAAGTATTTAGAAGCAATTGTGTGTTGGCATACCTTGTTGAAATTCCAAATCTTGAGTATGGTTTTGCCATCAAAGAGTGGATTCTTGAAGATGCAGTCTCTAGTAGGGAGTGCAAAATATTGGCACTTGGGAATGGTGCCATCAGGGTAAACTAGCTTCGTTAAAAGATCGAAATCATGGCCACCCAAGGAGTCACTGACATAAACAGGTCCTCCACAGATAGCCCTGGAGCCAGCATGGAACTTAGCACAGACATGATCAGATTGGAACATGTCCCAGTCTGGTTGAATAATCTGACCCATCCACATACTGTTGTAGGCACAATGAATCATATGAACACCCTGTAGCCAGTACACTCCATTCGGGTCACCATTTGGATCTTGGAACCAAAAATCATCCCCTATAATAACAACAAAAACATTACTAGAATCTACATAAAAGGACAGTTTGGTGCACTAAGCTCCCACTATGCACATGTCCGGGAAAGGGCCGGACCTCAAGGGTACAACGTACACAGTCTTACCCTACATTTCTGCAAGAGGCTACTTCCACAACTCGACCCCCTGACCTCCAACAACTTTACTAGTGTCTACATATCCTGATAAATTTACATTATGAAAAGGACAGTAAGAAATTCTTACCAACTCTTCCAATAGAGATTTGTTTTGTTCCTAGGAGGAAGAAGTCATTACATTGTTGCATACTGGATATGAGTCCAGTACCATTGAAGTTCTTTGCTAGGGATTTCGATAGCCGATCGTAATATTTCTTTGCAAGCTCAACTCGACCACCATATTCCTCGCTAACATATTCTAGTGTCTGCAAGAAAAAATCCCAATTAAAAAAATGTGCTTATTAAGTAAAATGAAAACAAGAAAACACTTGCTGAAACTAAATTGGAAACGTACATGGATAACGTCGACTTTAACTCCTGTAATTCCCACTTCAGAGAGGTAAGAATGCATTGAATCATAAAAATCATCAGCTTGATCAGGATGAACAAGTCCAATGCCACCTTCTACTATTTTGATCACTGCAAGATCATCCATTGTCCCATCAAGGCCCTGAGAAAGTTTACACGCGATGATCTTGGAATTCAGGTGGGTAGTTCCAGGCCTTACACCACCCCAAGCACCACACAAGGCATGCCATACATAAATATCATCCAGGCCTTTGAAATGTGTTCTCAAATCCCTGGTAAACGCTTTCATCCCCGAGTCCTCGGAGTTAAATTCCAATTCTTCACCATCCTTGCACATGAGCTGAAGAGAGTTTTCTTGGTCCCCACCAAACATTTCATCCAACTCCTTCTTCAGTTTCTCAATCTTTATTTCAAACAATGACAGGTCAGTAACTCCAGACTGAATCGCCTTGTCGCGAGCCTTTTCTGCATGCTCAATCTCAATTGCCTTAGAGATTAGTATCTTTGGCTTATTGAGGTCAAAAAGTGGAGGATTTGGTCCTAACAAGGCTCCACCTTTGTACTTCCTGAATTTCTCACCTTCATCAAGCCTATGAAGCCTGGCAGTCATTTGAGTTCCACCAAGAACCAAATTTTTCGCATCCTCATGAGGTTCTTGATGATCAAAATTGATACTTTGCCAACCATCATCAATAATAAGGAATCGCGGCGATACCCCACCTTGGGAAAACTCTTTCACTCCATGCCAAACCCCTGTAGGTTCAACAGTTAAGTAAAAAGCATCCCAAGTACACCAACCAAATTTATCCACAAGGGATGGAACTGATTTCTCTTCCAAGAGCTTAAAGGTATTTAGATAAACTCTAAGAGAAGTATAAGCTTCTTTCATCAGGGTGTAAGGATTATCAGACACATGAACATACGCGATAGCGCCAAAGGATGATGCTTTCACTTGGCTAGAACCACTCTCAGCACAAATAAGAACATGACCATCTATGCCAGGGTGAAGTGCAGACCTGAATTTCCCTTCAATTATTGGTATAATAATCACATAAGATTTTATCTCAGGGACATCTAAGAGTACCCATTGAGTTTCCATTTGCAAATCAGAACCAGAATTTCCTACCCATTGTGTAGACCACCAAGTCTTGAACCTGAAAATGCTGAGGAAATTTCTGCAAGTGAATTTCCCCAAGGAATTCATCAAGTGATGAGATGGATCATCTTTGTTGAATCCCAAGAATCCGCCTTTGGAAGACGTTGAATGAGCGCGATGGAACAGGGGAAGTGGAGCACTGGATGTTTGGCAAATTGATGAAAAGCTTGAGAAACTAACATTGCTTGGAACTTCAAAGAGTAATGGAACTTTCTTAACAAAGAGTTTTCCATTAGATAATTCAAAAAAGTTGTCCTCTTTATGAGTTTTCATTACATTGAGAATTGAGTTAATTGGATCATTTGGTGGTGCCATGACAGGGGAAAACAGAGAAATAAAACAGAGGACACAAATGAGTAAGGAAAAAAAAAACAGGAATAATATGGTTAAGTTGAATGAATTAAGAAGCAAAGATTGCAAGTATATATAGAGGGAATTCATGCTTTGAAAGAAATAAAATTATAATCGTCCATTTCCATTTGTTTGTCTTACTATCCAAAACTTCAAAATTACCTTCTTAAAGTTCGTATTAAATCAAAACCAGATAAACAAATTGCAACTTTATAAGTAGGTTGTTGAGGATTGCGATCTAAGTTGTGTGGACTATTCACTTTCAATGCCTCATCCATGGCAAATTTTCTAAAGATACATTTATCTTTCAGAAATTTAACACGCACATATTGACATTTTTAAAGAATCCGAGTTACGTATGTCCAGGTTGGTTGAAAAAAGGAGGAAAAAGGGGTTAGGACGGTTGATTACGGTGATAGCAGTTATTTTCATAAAGGGATTTCTTGAGGGTGGCCCACCTGTATGATCCTTCTAGTAGAGCAAAGGGTCCATATTTATTTCATTTGTTTTGGAAATTGAAAAGACAAATTTAACTGAAATGTCATCTTGCTCTGTTGACAAAAAACTATTCAATCATTTAAGAATGAGGAATTTTGTTTTAGATGAGATAGTCACACAGTTAAGTACGATAGATACCAGAGTTCTTAGGTTCATGTTTCGTCGTTATCCATTATGTTAACAATTGTCACATGATCAAAAGAATGAGGCAAACATCTAATAGAAACTTGGTGAAGACATAATTAAATAAATATTTTTTAGATAGGATAACTAAAAGTTTGAATAGATAGTAGGTGGACCAACACTAGTTTGGCTGCCGTTTTTAATACGGATTGTCTTAATTTGATGGGATGTCTATTACTCTTGTTTTTCCTTAAAAGAAACAGTAAATATTTTTGTAAAAAAATTATATATATATCATACTTTTTTATTTTATGGAACACTTTAATATACATAATTACACTGTTCATAACAGAAATAATGAAAAACGCAATCAAACATTGGAAGGTGGAGTGGAGATTTGAGGAACATTTAGGAATGGAGAAAAATAAATAATTTTATTTCGTGAAGAAACAAAAGATGGTTGAGAAATGTGGATAGTCGATACTGGAAGGTTCCCACTGGAATAATAATAAAAATAATAATAATAATTGTTGTTGTTGTTTAAAAATTAAAATTAAAATTCAATTCATAATTCAAATAAAATAACTAATTTTGGATTTGCCGAAATATGCACACCCTAAATACCAGTAATAAAGTTGAGCGTAATTTAATATGTAATAAAGTAGAGAAATTAAGCAATTAACTATTCATGTTCATTTTTACTTGTTCAACTCAATGTTTTCTTTAAGAAGAAGCAATAAATAGAATGACAATTTTATTATCATGTCAGTTGTCACTTTTTAGATATAATAAATTTAATATTTTAAAAAATGACCATAGTTAATGATAAATAATTTTAAAAAAATTAATATTTTAAACTGAACAAATAAAGTTAAACATTGATTATTATTAATATAATTCCAAGTAAAAATAGGACTGAACAAATAAAATTCGACATTATTTTTAAATATAATTCCAAGTAAAATAGATAAAGGAAGTAGAACGTACTCTTCATTCTCTTTTTCTTCCATTTTACAACATCTGCAGGAAATATATTGTTTGTTCAACTTAAAAAGTGTAAATTGTATTATTCGATAACTTGGTCGAAAATACTATAACAAATATTAAAGTTGGTACATATATAATTAAATTATAATAGTATTAAAATTTGATAACTTCTTGTTGTTGGTAAAACGAGAAGGTTCTTGAATATGTGAAAGATTCTTGGTGGAGTATGTCCATAATTTTCATTCATTACAAAGCACTAGGATCTGATTTTTTTGTGTTCTAATTAGGGATTCATGGATCGAATTGAATTGATTATCGATTAAAATTAAAATTAAATTAATTATTAAATTATTAAAAATTAAATTAAACATAATATATATATATATATATATATATATTGAGTTAATTGTTATTAATTTTAATTCCGATGTTAATCATACGCAAAAATAAAATCAAAAAACAAGATGAAAGAATAAAATAAATAAATTACTTAGTAAACATACACCTACCAACACCATCCATTATAATATACTTTTATCTTTCAGTTGAGTCTTTGGAGAAAATGAAATCAAAATTGGAACAATTAACAGTTGGATCATGCCTCCAAGTTAATTTCATTTACCTACTTAAATCATAAATAAATTTCGATGAAAACATATATAAGATATTTAAAGTTATTTGTAAAAACAATATATATATATATATATATATAATCTCTGTCGATTCAATTATTTCTTCAATCTTTTTAACAAATCGAATATCATTATTTTAAAATAAAATCAAACAACACCAAATCCAAGTGCACTGGTAGTTTAATTGATTTATTTAAATTCTTTAATTTAAATCAGTTTTTATCCGAATCATGAACACCCATTGCACAAATAAAGATAGAAAATTTTACAAAATCTCATAGTGTTAAAAACTAATTACATTTTATCCATATTTTTTTTCAAATCACAGAAGTCTCTTAAAATTGGTGGAATACGGATACATCCCAAAATGTCCCGAACATCGCGTTTCGGTTTCAGTTACATCACTCACCATTCCGATACATTGTGTCTTGATTTCAAATACATTACTCAACGTCCCGATACATCACAAATCTCATAGTGTGAAAATCTAATTACATCTTATCCATATATTTGACCGATACATCACAAATTCTCATAGTGTTAAGAGTTAATTACATATTATCCCTACTCTTTTTCAAATTACAAAAATCCCTTAAATTTGTTCGAATACATCCCAAAACGTCATGATACATCACATCCCGATTTTAGATACATTCCTCAACGTTTCGATACACCACATCTCGATTTCGAATACATCACTCAATCTCCCAAGATATCACGTACATCTCGATACATCGGGTAAAATAATATATTTGATTGATACATCACGTAAAGTGATGTATCCAAGAGTAGAAAATTTTGTAATTTTTTTCAAATAATAGAAAGTTTTTAAAATATAATAAAATAAGTTATGTATTTAGATAATATTTCCGTAAAGATACCCATCTTGTGGTTGTGGGCAAATCACCTCTGTTGGTTGATTAGACAGATATTGGGCCGGAGAGACACAACTTTTGTTTCATATTAAATGGGCCAACTCTCTAAGTCGACTTTTGGGCCTACCCACGTTAATTTCTGGTTCCCTTTCTTCTTGGGTAATCCCTAATGAAGTACCCTACAAAATAATTTCAGATTTTTACACTCTATAGCCCACAAATGTTCCTATTTTTGGGTGGCTCTTTAATTTTTATGTTTTAAATTTATAGTCATTAATTTTTTTGTCTTTTTCACACTTGAAGTAATAAAAAAAATGATTGGAAATATTCTGAATATCAAAATAATAAATAATTTTTCATGAGGTATAAATTTATATTTTTTCGGTATAGTGTCTCATAATTTATGTCGTAAAAAGTCATAATTAATTATGTTATATTATGTATCATCATTACACATAATTATGTCGAGTGAGACATAATTTCAATTTTAGAATGCACAAAAAAATTACTAAAAAGCATAATAAGTTATTCATTCCTACATAACTTATGTCGATGAAGCAAGAATTTAGTTTCAGAACCCATAAATTATGTCATAAAAAGGTAGGATCATTTTGACCTGCGAGTCGAATCTTTGATATGAGTCTTTTAATATGTCATTTCTTTCGTTCTATATTAGTTGTGCACCTTATTATAAAAAAATTTGTCTCAAATTACTTGTCAATTTACAAAATCAAGACAAAATTATTATTTTTTTAATTCTACTTTTACAATTGATTCTTTTTGTAAGTGTAAACAATTTTGTAAACTTCTAAAAAATTCTTTTAAGGGTAAATTAGTAAAATTTCCTTCTTATTTATGTTTTTTTAAGAAACATGTAAAGAAGAAAGTGTACAATTAATACAAGACATTGGAAGTATTATTGTCTATATTTATTTGACATGAAGTTTTAGTTTATTTTGTCAAGTCAGGCTTTTCTAAAATGACTGATGTTATAAAATTAATTAAACAAAATAATATATGATAAAACTTTAGTCAAATCACAATTTCTTTATATTAACAATAATTAAGTTATTCCATCCAAAAAAATAATAATTAAGTTAAGAAAATTATTATTAAAATAAAATAAAAGAGGTAAGCATAATATTATAAAACTCAACAATATTATGAAAATAAAGTTTGAGGGGTTATCTGTAATTTTTTTTTTTTTATCTTTTAGTTATAATGACTATGAAAAAAATTGTTTTAACTTGAGTGACATTATAAAAAGAAAAGCATAAGTTGAATGACTTGATTTATGCAAAACTAAGTTGAGTGATTTTCTCAAATAATTTTTTTTGTAGAGTAACTTTTTGAAATATTTACTCAAATAGTTGATGTAGATAAATCTTTCTATCTCGAAATATAGATAAATACTTACTCACACTCAAACAAAAGATAGCATAACATGTGTCTTATGCATACCTTTTTATAGCCTAATTATAATTAATTATCACTCTTCATATTTTAATCTGCTTGTTTGATTTAATTTTGTATAGAGTTTAAAAAAGTAAATATGACTTTGGAATCTTATAGTCTTAAATTAAAGATATGTAAGATGTAACAAAATGTTCTTTTATCTTATAGCGTTAAACATGTCACGTAGAAAGTTGAAATTAAAGAATTGCCAAAAATAAGAAAAAAGTATAATTTATAAACATAGCATCTAACATGGCCTCAATTGGCATCTACATCCTCCAACTTTAAATGTACACAAGTAGACACACACATTCTACATGAAAAATCTCATACGATTTGATATGTAGGACAAGTGAAGCTCACACGACTTGTCATGTAAGACGCGAACATCTACTTGTTCAACTTTATAATAATTTATAAGTGTTTATTTATGAGTTGTGTACATCCAATTTG